AAAACCTCTTCGTTGCTTACATATTTGGTCCATCGTTTTCTTAGAATCATTCTACAGAACCACATTTCTGTTGCTTCAATTCTCTTCTTCATCTTTGAGGAGATTGTCCTTTTCGGAGACTGCCATATAGGAGGAGGACTGATATTACATAACATCCCAGTATTCTTTTCTTTGTATCCAACGATTTTTTTTCTGTTTCTTAATACTCTGCTTAGCTTTTAGAAAGCATCTTTCTTTATCCCAATGCGTCTTCGGATTTCAGTGCCACACTTTCCGTCCTCTGTTAAAAGACTTCCCAGATATCTAAATTTTTGTACTTATTTGAATTTGTCATCCCAAATCTGTAATTTACATATTGGACTGATCCCTTTTGCTAACAGACATGCATTCAGTCTTATTATAATTGATGTTTAATCTTTTCTTCTCGCTTTTCTTCACTCCTCTCTAGATGAGTTCTAGTAGTTTCCTTTCTGTATCTATCTTCAACACTGTTATCTGCATCCCATTAAGAAGACGAGTTTAGATTTCCTGTCTTGAGAAAATTGTGGCACTCCGTGTCTCTTTTTAAAAACACCCAAATTAAATAAGATCTCTTAGCAATGAGACTTGGCACTGAGACGAGAAGTTTAGGGTCTCAATACGATTCCTGTTTATATTGATACCAAATTCTTCTTTTATTTGTTCGCCTTTGTTCGTTCCAATCTCTGGAATGAATATTAGCCTTCCCACTGAGACGGGTTTAATGTGGGAAACCCGAGCGCATACATCCGGACCAACAACAAAAATTCCCCGAGCCCCCGAAGCTGTCGGTTGCTCTGGCCACGGTGCGAGCACCGATCCCTTTCTCTCTAGTGCAACGAGAGGGTGCAGCTTCGAGCAGCTGTTGCCCAGGGCTGGGCACCTCACAGTGTGATTTTCTTCAGTTGCGACTCTGGCCTCCGACGGAGCCACAACCGCGTCTCACTCCACCCGAAGACAGAGACGCAACTGAGAGATGATAAAAACCTACCCGACGTACCAGGTAGATATTTACTTGACCCCCCCCCCCCCAGCGGAGTCAGGTTGTGGCACAAGCTCAGTTAAATGTGGGGAACCTGAGCGCGATATATAACAGCAAGACTTCGACAGTTGCAGCAGTAGCCGCAGTAGAAAGGGGCTGCATTGTTGAATGCGTCACAAGTAAGCAGCAGCGCTACTCATCATTAGTTTCAAGACTCGAAGTTCCCCACTCATGATTGCCCCACGTGGATTAAAGCGTTAGTTCGGGAATTTAGGGACATAGTAATTGTAAGTTCAATCCCTGATAGACAATAAAAAACGTGTTACCTCCCTTATTCATGGTCAGCGGAACGAGGACAATCTACCGAGCGTAGGTTAGATAAAAGATTCAGTTTGAAATTCCCCGAAGGTTACATGGACCGACAAGCACCTAATGAAGGCCGGAAAGCACAACGGTCAAAACATTGGATAATGACAATAAAAATAAGGACAACTGTTCACATGTAAATAATGTCAGTCATGTGATCAGATTTAAGGAACTGGTACGTGTTAAGGAATTTTCCATACCTCCGTATTAATATTTTTTTATAAGTTAATATTGTGTCGTCTTACAAATTAAATCTATTAATTAAATCTATTAATTAAAACATTAATTTATTAAATCAAGAATTAAATCACGGTCTAATAGTGTATGAAAAGCTGTTGAAAGTTATTGGTCCTACCAAGAAGGGAATTTTCTTTTTTGAATTCGTTTCTATCAATAGTGGTTAAAGAGAAAATAAGAAGTCACTCTCTATGGCCCATAGGAAAGAAACGCTATTTCCAACACAATTTATTTTCTACCCAATTACAGACAATATTTACAAACATACCAAAAAGATTCCACAATACAAAACACGCCAATTAAATCAAAATGTCTATTGGTTAGAAATTAACTATTGATTGATTTATTCGTTTTTTACGGCTTATCAACCCTTTACAAGTTATTTAAGGCCAGATTTTTTTTTTTAGATTGAAAGAATTTTCCTTAGGTAATAATTCTTTAGTCTCATTGGGAGGGAAGAGTGATTTCATGCCTAATCAGAATTTGATAAACAAAAAAGTATAATGTGGATATAAAATGGGGGATCATTCCTATATTACAATAACTATGTAAACTGATCTCTCACTTTGTGGTCATGGTAGTTTCTATATATTTATACCCCAGAGAATGTAAATAAATCTAAAAGACTTGCCAGTGTAGAAAATCAGTGTTTCATAGATTGATTCGTTAAAACCAGAAAATATTTTTAGATTGTAAGACGTTTTTTCTTTTTTAGATAATAATGATTTTAGTGATACAAGCCTCATTAATTAACCCATAGCTGGGGAGATAAAATGTGGATTCATATCTTCCTTAGAGTATGTGCTCATAAATGAATATAACGAACCCAACGGGAATTGGAACTCGGCTCTCTGATAAATAATCCCGAGGCATTATTGATTACACCATCTGCACATCCTAGTATTCCCAACTGGTCACCCATCATAGAACTGACTAGGCTCAATATTGCTTCATTGATCGTACGGGAACCGGTATTACAACGTGATGTGACCGTGAGCCCCTAGAAGTTAACATCACCACGTAAAATATTTGATCAATCATAGAAAACTAAAAGCCTACTTTTTCCGGTCCTACATTCGGGAAAATTTTCTTATAAAAACCCGCAGATTTTGTATTTCCAGGGCAGAGATGCGACTGTCTCTAAGCCGTTCAAACACAATAGAAGACGGCTACATAGCCTTTTCCTCCTAAGCGCGTACTGGAAGTAACGTGTGTTGGCCACTTCAAACGAGTTATCCCCAACAACAACAGCAGGGAGTCAGTGAACCTTCACTGACGATCAAAGTCCTTTCTCAACCTCAGATTTTTACTGTGGAATAACAACTAAAAGTCTTTTTTATGGACCAACTACCCAAAGGCATTGACTCAACTAAAGACTATTTTTTGTCGTTTTTACTCTTTTGAATTCATGTACATGAATTCATGATTCATTTAATAGGCATACCTATGTTTTATTTATTTCTCTTTTATTACAAGACTGCCCGGGACTCCTTCGGTCATTGACAGAACACGTAATAAAACGTTGACGATGATTTCAACATTCCACTGAAATGAAGACTCAGTTAAGTATTTCAGTTTCTCCTCATTGTTTTAGTTTACAAGTTCATGTTTAACGTTTTACTGATTGTTTAAAGCATTTAATAGGAATAAAACTTCCGGGATAAACTTTAAATCAGATTAACTTAAAAATATTTTTTAACGTGGCAAAAAATATTTCAAAATCATATTCACTTGAAAATACTTTTTAAATATGACAAAAAATATTTTTAAATATTTAATATATTGTTTGTTTAAAGAAAGCGGAAATATAAATCATTACTCTCCAAATACGTGGACGAAACCGCAAAGCGGCATCTTTTTGTGTCTGTCTTTAAGGTAAGAATACTTTTTAAAAAATTGTCTGTTTGAAGAAAGTTAAAATAAAAATACTTACTGTATAAACAACTCGCTTTTTAAAATCTTATTCACTTCAAATATTTTTCAATCAGATCAACTTGAAAATATTTTTTAAATATTTAAAATATCTTTGTTTAAAGAAATCTGAATTATAAATAATTAATCTAAAAACAACTGGACGAAACAGCAAACCTGCATCTTTTTGTGTCTGTTTTTAATTTAAAAATACTTTTAAAAAATTACCTGTTTGAAGAAAGTTAAAATAAAAAATACTTACTGTATAAACAACTTGCATTTTTACATTTCATTCACTTCAAATATTCTATACATCAGATCCCCTTAAAAATATTTTTTAAATATTTAAAATATTGTTTTTTTTAAAGAAAGCTGAAATATATATAATTAATCTCCAAACAACTGGGCGAAACCGCAAAGCGGCATCTTTTTGTGTCTGTCTATAAGGGAAAAATAATTTTTAAAAATTGTCTGTTTGAAGAAAGTTAAAATAAAAATACTTAATGTATAAATAACTGGTAAATCATTATGTGCCGGACGGATGCACCACACAAGCACAAACGCAATCCTCGACATTTAGTATTAGATAGATAGATAGATAGATAGATAGATAGATAGATAGATAGATTGGAATTCGGTCATTCGGATTGTTAATATTAAAAAAAAAAATACCTGGATGATAGAATTTCCTACAGGCCTTTTCAAAATAGAAACTATGATCTGAAATGAAAGCAGTGAAAATACTTACACTGAATTATACATCATAAGATTTGAGCAGGTAAAATTAGTTAATTTACTACTAAAAAATTCAGATACCTCAGTGTGTGAATCAGTTATAAAATATTTAGTATAACAGATAGAGAAATTGAACATGGAATAAGCTACGCTAGGATAAGCTGCCTGTTGTCCAACTTCAAAATGTCCAAACAGGTGTATACAGTCGTTTTCAAGGATCAATGATTAAAATAAAATGGCTTCGAATGAATAAACTATGTAGGATTTAGGGTTATCTTTCATTTCCATGTCTCACAAAAAAAAACAGCTTTACCAAATTACAAGAACCACATGACTTGAAGACATTTCGACAGCTGCAACAACTAAAATGGATAGCACGTGGAATTCGAAAAGAAAATAATGACATATTAAAAATATTGACTTTGCGCATCTACTCCGAACAAAAGTTTAGAAAGGAAGCCCCCCATCAATACTCGAAAGAGCGATAACAGTTAGTGGGCTTGATTGATTCGCTTTTTACGGCTTATCAACCCTTTGCAGGTAATTTAAAGTTATTTTTTAGATAATAATGATTTAGGGTTACAATTCTTACTAATTAACCCATAGCTGGGAGGAGAAGAGGTGGATCCATACCTTTCCCAAGGGTGCTTGCGCGAAAATAAATACAACGAACCCGAAGGGAATTGGAACTCGGCACTTCGATTAACAATTCCTATACATTGTACATTACACCACCCGCACATCCAAGCTCACAAAACCTAATATTCCCAACTGGTCACCCATCTATGTAGTGACCGAGCTCGACCCTGCTTAACTTCGGTGATCATACGGGAACTGATGTTTCAACGTGATGTGGCCGTAAACCAAACCATGCAGAAGAAAAATCAAGTGACAATAACTACTGTTGTTGTTTTTGTTATTTTTTAATCGCCAGCACCTTTGTCAGTATACTTACAGCATCTCTTTTCTCTAGACTGCTTAGGGAGTGGAAGAAGAGGTGGGTTCATAACTTCATACCTAATTATAACGAACTCAACCAGAATTGGAACTCAGCTCTCCGATTAACAATTACGAGCCATTATCCATTACACCACTCGCACATCCAAGCTTACAGCACCTGATATTCCCAAACCGACATTCATCTAGGCACTGGCCAATCTTGACGTTGCTTAACTTCGGCGTTTCAAGTGAATATAACGAATCCAAAGGGAATTGGAACTCGGCTCCTGGATTAACAATTATGAGCCATTATCCATTACACCATTCGCACATTGTTGAAACTTGACTAATGCATGGAATAATAATACAACACAAAATGTAATTAGAACAAAATGTATTGAAACAAGAAAGGTACACAATATTTAAATATAGTCTTTTGTATATTCCTGGGAAGACCATTCCTAGGAAGACCGTTCCTGGAGAATGTGTTGACTTAGTCGCAGTCGGGCAGAGTCTCTGGATTGAATCTCTTGATTCCTCCCCGCGTCTTCCCGGTACCAACCATATTTATATGGTCGGTACTCCACTATGCAAATTAGGTGGATCCTACCACAACACACATCCAAGCTTACAGCACTTGATATTCCCAAACGGACATCCATCTAGGCACTGGCCAGGCTTGACGCTGCTTAACTTCGGCGTTTCAAGTGAATATAACGAATCCAAATGGAATTGGAACTCGGCTCCCCGATTAACAATTATGAGCCATTATCCATTACACCACTCGCACATCCAAGCTTACAACACCTTATATTCCTAAACGGACATCCATCTAGATACTGACCAGGCTTGATGTTGCTTAACTTCGGTCATCGAACCGGTGTTTCAACGTGATGTGCCCGTAAGACTTAGTTGGGCTTGAGAAACCTTTTTCTTTTTTTTCCTGAAAAGCTGTTTTTTGAGAGAAAGAATTTACAAATTTCAATCGTCGATATTTCTAAAGAAAAATAAACACCGAATATTTCCTTCTAAAGAATCGTTTGAATTTCACCATTCAATAAAGTGTGTCGATATTCAATATTTTGTAATGATTGCCAAAATTGTAGCCGGATTTCTTTTTGGAGTCAAAGAACGGACGAGTCGAAATTTTATTACGTTTTACTCTTCTTTCCTCTTCTTTTTTTTTTCTATTAATAACGTCCCTCGTTACGTCTTGCCCATCTGCATTTACTCGTATGTAAATATAATATATAACTTTTTGCTTTCTTCTTTATGCTGTACAAAGTTTCCGGTAGGCCACCTAACGACACAGGTTATTCCTTCATTCATTCATCTACAGACTAGCGTGACCGAAACAGAGAATTGACACTAATAATGTTATCTATTGGACCTCTCGCCCCTGTGCCTAAAAAAAAAAAAAAGAAAAAAAAATGGCGGAAGACAATACACAGCTTTTAAATTGGTTCTGACATCTACTTGAAATTATTCATTAAATGCTTTATTGTTTAATGCATTCGGCATTTGTGGAAGATGCGGCGGACTTTTGGCGAACGTCCCTCGGGGTGTTTTGAGGAGACGGCATATCTGACAGCTAGATAGGCAAGCAAAGCCTGGTTGCTCTTCTTTCTTTTTTTCCCACTCCCTACTCGGAACCAGGTTCGAAGTGCAAAGGTCAATCCAGACTGATATGCAGCGTAAATCTTCTTCATTAACTTAGCGTAATAGGACATGCAAACCGCTAGTTTTAGGCTATCGTCTTTCAGTTTTGGGGAATGTGCGTGTAGTGTATGCTTGTGTACGCATGTATGTTTACGCGTGTACGAATGTGAGTGTGCCTGTTTGAATGCGACTGGGTTTGAGACTCTGAGTGAGTCTGCATTTAAGTGACAGTTCAATTCTTCAATATATATACACACACACAAGTGATGCGATGGTTAGAATCTCAACATATTATATTTTTAATTTCGCGCATGCGCGTTGTTTGTTTTTGATTTTGTCGACTGCACCGTATAGTAGGGTCAGTTGGGCACCGTCTGTGAGAAAAAGACCACCATGACACAATTCACTCAACTAGAAATTCGGAAACGGCATGCTGTACTGCTTGGCATTCGCGCCGGAAGCTCCAATACGAACGTTTTAGAGTGTTTTGGGTGTCAATCTGTGGACAGTGGAGAGGATTCGGAAAGAGTTGGATGAGTCTAATGGTGATTACAAAGGTACGGCAGCTCGGAAAACTCACTCTGATCGTTCTGATGAGAAAATAACTCCCGGATTTGTTTTGTGTGGGCCTCAAACACAACACGGAGGCCTACCTCAAGTGTCCTGAGGAGGTACTGCTGACCTGCATCAAAACGGTGGCTACTGGAAGACCCAATGTCTGGCAACAGGACCCTGCACTATGCCACACAAGCAGGAGGACCCAGTCATGGCTGTCAGACAATTTCTGTGACAACATCGCTCCTTACAACTGGCCATCTAACTCCCCAGACTGCAACTTATTATGTGTGGGTCGCAGTTGAGCGGGAGACCAACAAATCTCTTTGTAACACCAAAGATGAACTGAAGGCAAGGATTATAGCAACATTCATCAACTTAAACAAGGAGAGCGTCCAGAAGAGTTGCAGGAGATTCAGAAGTCATCTGGAGGGCGTGATTGAATCCAATGGCGATTTTATTGAATAAATTTACTCTTTAGTATTTCAAGATTTTTGTGTGTAATTTTCTTAAATATGTCTGCTAAAATGAGATGTCAAAGTTATTTTTATTTTTGCGTCAATTAGGCGACAATTTATTAATTAATATATATATATATATATATATATATATATATATATATATATATATATATATATATATATATATATATATGGGGTGCGGAGGATTGAGGAATCGGAAAGCAGGTTTTGTTTAGGTTTATTTTGTTTAACGGCTTAATGGGTTATTTAATGCCGACAACATTTTTAGGATAGATTCATATGAATAGAATATGTATTCTTTGGTTTAGATTGGTTTGGTTTATTTTGTTTTACGGCATATCAACCTCAATGGGTTATTTAATGCCGACAACATTTTTAGGATAGATTCGTATGAATAGAATATGTATTCTTTGGTTTAGATTGGTTTGGTTTATTTTGTTTTACGGCATATCAACCTCAATGGATTATTTAATGCCAGCAACATTTTTAGAATAGATTCGTATGAATAGAATATGTATTCTTTGGTTTAGATTGGTTTGGTTTATTTTGTTTTACGGCATATCAACCTCGATGGGTTATTTAATGCCGACAACATTTTTAGGATAGATTCATATGAATAGAATATGTATTCTTTGGTTTAGATTGGTTTGGTTTATTTTGTTTTACGGTATATCAACCTCGATGGGTTATTTAATGCCGACAACATTTTTAGGATAGATTCATATGAATAGAATATGTATTCTTTGGTTTAGATTGGTTTGGTTTATTTTGTTTTACGGCATATCAACCTCAATGGATTATTTAATGCCAGCAACATTTTTAGGATAGATTCGTATGAATAGAATATGTATTCTTTGGTTTGGTTTATTTTGTTTTACGGCATATCAACCTCAATGGGTTATTTAATGCCGACAACATTTTTAGGATAGATTCGTATGAATAGAATATGTATTATTTGGTTTAGATTGATTTGGTTTATTTTGTTTTACGGCATATCAACCTCAATGGATTATTTAATGCCAGCAACATTTTTAGAATAGATTCGTATGAATAGAATATGTATTCTTTGGTTTAGATTGGTTTGGTTTATTTTGTTTTACGGCATATCAACCTCAATGGGTTATTTAATGGCGACAAAATTTTTTATTGCTGGCTATATTTTGTTTTCTCAAAAATGTGTTTCTTGTAATATTTTTCCTTCAAAATTATATTGTATGTTTAATAATTTTTTCAAAAATTATTACTAGTAATTGTTGACTATTTGCCCATAGCTGGGACCCTAACAGGTGCTACCACCCGGGTCAGGGTGGACCTGGGAAAACCAGCAATTAAGAGGTGGTTCCACATTCCTCAAAACCTCCTGACCGAAGCCTTGCTGCTGGATGTAGTTTATCGTCTTACCCAGGACGCGGATATAGTTTAACGTCTTACCCAGGACAATCGGAAACCAGGTTTGGAAGTCCAGTCGAGTTCATTACATTCACTTACGGGGGCAAACACCCTTGGGAAAAATATGAACCCATTTCTACCCCCCTCCAGCTATGTGTAAAATAGCAAAAAAAATCCTATAGTCTTGGGTACCAAACGGTCTATGAGAAAGACAACGCTGAATTCAAAACCTGCTGAAAGTCGTTTAGGGTTTTGTGGCACGTTCTCCCAAAAAGTGTAGTTGGGTCGGCACAAGCCTTCAGCACGATAATCAAATCATATTTGCGAGTAGTCTGGATGTACCCTCCTATGACGAGAGGGTCCAATATATATATATATATATATATATATATATATATATATAAGTAATAAAAATCTTGGTAATCCGTATGGATAATCTCAAGGAGGATGAAATCCATTGAGCTCAATGTTAAATCAGAGCGATTAATTCAATGAAAACAGACAACTTTAAGGATCCATTGGTTATAATTTATTTCCTCAGGAATTTCGTTTTCCTGGCTCATCAGACCACACTTCCAAGGGTGGAAAGTGTGGAAGTGTGGTCCGATGAGTCAGAGGAAAAAGAAATTCCCTGGAGAAATAAATTATAACTAATGGGCCCTTAAAGTTGTCCGTTTTATTGGAATATATATATATATATATATATATATATATATATATATATATATATATATATATATATATATATATATATATATATATTAAAGACATTTTATGTTTAACGTTCTTTTTTATAGATTGAAGTTTATAAGCAGTAAATTCGACCTTGCATACTGAACGCTCCTTTGTGGCCGAGTCGGTTAAGGCACGTCAGCGTAAATGACGGTTTCGTATAGGATGCCGGTTCGAATTCTGTCAAAGGACGAATATTTTCTATGAAAATTTCTCGGACATTCATTATATCTATCTATCTATCTATCAATTCAAGTCTGTTCATATATATTTATTTCTATTTATCTATCTCATTCTGTTCGTCTCTCTCTCTCTCTATCTATCTATCTATCTATCTTTCTCTATCTCTCTCTCTCCCTGTGTATGTGTGTTTGTTTGTGTGGGTGTGTTCATTATATGCTCATTACCTATTTATCGTAATCTGTTCATTATCTATTTATCTATCTACGTTAGTCTATTGATATCTATCTATCTATCTATCTATCTATCTATCTATCTCTATTCAATATCTATCTATCTCAGTCTATTCATTATCTATCTATCTATCTATCTATCTATTTCAGTCTGTTCATATTAATCTCTGTCAGTTCATATCTATCTATTAATCTATCAACATGTCTATCTCAGTCAATTCATCTATCTATCTATCTCAGTCAGTTTATTACCTATCTATTTATGTCATTCTGTTTATATCTATCTATCTATCAAGTCTGTTCATATATATTTATTTCCATTTATCTATCATTCTGTTCGTATGTTTCTCTAGCCCCCCCCTCTCTCTCTCTATCTATCTATCTATATCTAAGTCTGTTCATATCTATCTCAATCTGTTTGTATCTACCTCTCTATATATCTACCTCGCTCTGTTATCTATCTATCTATCTATCTATCTACTGTTATGGTACCTTCTTTATTCGCTTTTTTTATCACCGCGATTTTCCGTTTCACTTTTAAACTCAAAATAGTCTCTATTAAACTTCTTTATCGTCCCCCTTCTTCTCAGAATTGTTGCTTGCTACTTATAATTTCTGGTGATATAGATCTCTTTACAATCACCTGCAGATATTTTTGTGTACGACGATTTCAATGCCCATCCTGTCAATTGGCTTCATCACTCTTACACCACTGATCTCTCCGTCATCCAGACTCTGAACCTCTCAGTTTCTCAATATCTCAATCAAATAGAATATTTTCCTACTCATTTCCCTAGTAATTATGATGGACACGCTTTTTTTTTTACTTCATCTGTTCTTTGCCTCCTTCCCGGACACATGCGGTATTGTCTGTAAAGCCCCCTATTAACAGAACATATTCTTGGTATCAACGCACTGATTGGGACTCATTTCGTAACTTTCTTCGCGATGCTCCATGTAATGATTTTTTTTAATATTCCCGTTGAAAACTGTGCCAGTGAGGTCTCTTCCTGTGTGAAAACCGGCATCGAAGCTTTCCTGCCAACACGGAAATACCAATCTTTTTCTTGGTTCACTCACACAAGAATTACTTCTTCCGGCTATACCGGTACGACAGTACTGATCATAACAGCTCTTTGTATCAGCTCGTCATGACTCTAAGTATGTGCTCAACGAGGCTAACTCAGTATTCGCTGATATAATCAGACACCATATAGACTCTCACAGGTTTGGTTCTAGAGATTACTGGCGGCTCTGTGAGAGTGTAAATTTTTCAATCTCTCTTCTTTGCAATAAGTTTGAAGTATTGGGATCTACTACTGACAAAAATGCTTTGCTCGGTAATTCTTTTCCATCTCCTCGGGAGGTATCTCTACTGAGTGATATGCACATAATTCCGTCCATGGTTTCCGTGATTATCCACAAACTCGACACCGACAATTTGACGATCTCCTTGTAATTGTCCCAAGGAAATGTACTCATAAAATGGCTTCTGTTCTCTCCAAACTCTACAATGATTACCTCGTCTCTTCTTGCTTTCAAGTTTTTTGGGATTTTTTTTAAATACTCCTCAGTAGTTTATGTCGTTAAGAACTCTAGTGAAGCTTTTGACCCCTTCGAATTATTGCTCTATTAATGTTTTAACACACTTTGGCAAAGTCGGAGAGCCGAGTTCGAATTCCAGTCGAATCCATTACATTCACTTACTCTTGGGAAAGGTATGAATCCTCTTCCCCTCCCCACCCCAACTATGGCTAAATAGCAGGACATACCGGGTTCTATAACCTTGAATGCCAACTTGTCTACCGAAAAAAGAAATAGCAACCTACTGCGGAAAAAAAATCTGCCCCGTCAATCATGTATCGAAAGATACATGATCGCCTATGATGCATGGTAAATAACTGACTGATATGCACTTACGTGCTAATACCCTTGGAAAAGGTATGGATCCTCTTCTTCTCCCCCCTCCCCAGCTATGGGTAAATAGCAGGACAGACCGGGTTCTATAGACTTGGATACCAACTGGTCAACCGCAGAAAGAAATGGGAACCTACAGCAGAAAAAAAATCTGCCTCGTCAGTCATGTATCGAAAGATGCCTGATCGCCTAAGCGTGTATCACACATGGCACATAACTGACTGACTGATTCTCCCTTTCTGTGGAATTTTTGGAGGTACCTATATTAGTACGAATACTATTCAATTTATGGCTCTCCACATCTTCTTTTCTTTTGTGACACTTAGCAACGTTTGTCCCTTTGCCAAGCCTCCCACACGCGTTCCGCCATTAATTCCCCCAAGCTCATCAAGTAAGTAGCCCACTGCCTACCCACGTCTATTTTTCCCTAGATATTTCCTGTGAGTGTCAATTTCCCCAAGCCCTTATTTTTCATTTCTTCGTTACTTACACACTCCGTCCATTGTATTCTCAGCATCCTTCTGTAGAACCACATTTCTGTTGCCTCAAGTTTTCTCTTCATCCATGCGGAGATTGTCCAGCATTCACTGCTATACATAACCTTGGATGCAACTAGTCTATTGCAGAAAGAAATGGCAACCTATTGCGGAAAAAAACCTGCCTCGTCAGTCATGTATCGAAAGATACATGATCGCCTAAGTGCGTATCATGCATGGCATATAACTGGAAGCTCTAATCAACGCCGAATTGCTTAAGCATCTCGCGTTACACAGCCCTCTTTCGAATAAACAATACAACCTTCGTTTTTCTAGGCTTACCGCTGATGTATTTACTGTTATTACCGAATTTGCCTATCGGGCTTTTGATATGAACGATGAGGCTTGAGCGCGTCTTGCCTCCGAAACACCCGACCGGGGAGGGCGCGTTATGGAGAGCCTCGTGGCGGACTCTGCCATTTTTTCAGCACTGTTTTATGGCCATCTGCCACTTTTTAAATTATTTTTTAAACTGACGTTACATTGTCAGTCATCAACTAATAATTTATGTTTAATCAACACCTCACGCGGTCAGGTTGTGACTCAAGGTCGGTTTAATCTGCGGATCCCGAGCCCGTACACCCGGGCTAGGAACAAATATTTTCGAACCCCGCAACCGTCAGTTGCGCTGGCATCTGTGCGAGCACCGATCCCTCTCTCTGGTGCAATGAGAGGGTGCAGCCTCGGGCAGCTGTTCCCCAGGGCTGGACACCTCTCAGTATAATTTTCCTCAGTTGCAACTCTCTCCTTCGACGGAGGCCCCCACACCCTGAGCGTACTCTGCCCAAAGACATGAGAGATGATAAATAAACGTGTTACAAACTACTCAAGAGAGTAATTGACACACTAATAATATACATACTACTACGCAGGAATACACTACGAGTTTGGATTCCCAAAAGGGCTGGTTTCAGCAGCGCTTTTTTTTTATTATTTTTTGCTTACAACCTTGAACCTTTCAACCGCATGGGGGCCCCATGCCTACTGAAAAAGGGGGCAGAAGGGCTAATTTCAGTACTGCTTATTTTTTTTTAATTGTAATTTTCTTTCTGAACATTTCTTTTAAAGCAAGTAAAAGGGTAATATATCTCAGTAAAATCATTTTTTGTTCCGTGATCTTCCACTAAGAAGGATCTTTGATTTTTTTTTTTTTTTTTACTAATAGAAATACTAATCAGAAGTCCACGGTTAGTAATCAAAATAAAATTTCTACTCCCGATTTTTTACATTTCTAGAAAGATGGAACCGAGAAAAAGAATGTTTAAAGATTTCAACATATAAAAATATTCCCGAAAACTGAAATACCAGTTTTAAACAAATTTTTAAGACAATCCCATTTATGTTGTGTTGGAATTGCTGTAAAACTTTTTTTTTCTTCGGCGGAGATGCGTCGGTTATTAATCTTTATGGAAATGTAAAAATATGCGACTTAAACATTTTTTTTTTCAAGTAAAATTTAGTCATGAAGATATTGGTGGTTATTACAAAAAGAATAACATTCTCTCAATTTTTTTAAAATAAAAAATTATTCATTAAAAAATGTGAATAATTAATGAATATGTACTGAAATTTTCATTTAAACTGGATAATCTTCTGATTTTTGGTAATTTAAAAAAGCGCTGACCTTAACCCCCCCACCACCACCACCACACCCATTTTCCTTCGGTGGTTGTGACCCCCAGTTTGGGAAATGGATATGTAGTAGAGAGAGGTATTCTTATCAAAATTTCGAAGGGGCCGAGATCCTACTGCCGGCCCTAGCTCGAGCTGCGGTGTTAGATATCTAGAAGTTTTCGACAGGGTTTGGTATGCTTTCCTTCTCCACAAGCTCAGAGGCCATGGTATCTCGGAAGGAATATTTGGCTTCATCCGATCGTTCTTAAATGAAAGACGAGTTAAAGACACACGCCTCTAGATCATTTTCCATTAATGCAGGGGTCCCCCGGGGCTCTATCCTTGAACCCACGTTGTTTCTTATCTCCATCAACGACATTCCCGATGTCATCAGTTCCCAACTTGGTATACCTACTATTTACTCCCGTGTTAGTAGCAAGTCACGTCAGGCAATATAAAAGTAAAACTGGCAGCTACTCTCGAAAATGAATCACAATAGTGGTTTACTGGGGCAAGTAATGGCTTGTAAATTTTAACACTTCTAAAGAAGAAGAATAGGGCAAGATGTTCTCTGATTTTTGGAAAAGAGTTGTTGAAGTTTCAGTGGGCCAACTACCCAGGTGGAAACTATGTGTGGCCTCAGGATGGTGTTCCTGCCCATACAGCCAAAAAATTACAGAATTTCTGGAAATCCAATTTTACCGATTTTGGGCCATCACACTTCTAGCCCACTTCCAGCCCAGATCTCAACCCTCTAGATTATACTGTTTGGAGCGTTTTATAACATGCTACTAAAAGATTCTATCATCCAAACGTTAACTCTCTTATGGATACCAAGAGTGACACAAGATGTCATCTGGTTTTTAGACGAGAATTGTAGAAGTTTTAGTGGGCGTGTGGAGGCAGTAATTGAGAAACAAGGACATATAGAATAAAATGTTTACGTTAAGAAATGGACAAAGTCCGACAATTTATTAAAGACATTTTTATGTTTAATATTCTTTTTATACATACAAGTATTTAAGTAAATGCTCTGTTTAAAATAAACAGTATGAAATAACATTTACCGGCCTGAATGTCCGAGAAATTTTCATAGAAAATATTCGTCCTTTGACAGGATTCGAACCTGCATCCTATACGGAACCGTCATTTAGCTTGACATGCCTAACCAGTCGGCCACAAAGGATCGTTCGATTGGCAAGGTCGAATTTCCGTATAGGATGCAGGTTCGAATCCTGTCAAAGGACGAATATTTTCTATGAAAATTTCTCGGACATTCAGGCCGGTAAATGTTATTTAAGACTGTTTATTATAAACGGATCATTTACTAAAATACTTGTATCTATAAAAAGAACGTTAAACATAAAAATGTCTTTAATAAAATGTTTCTTTCATTTTGTATTTGTATGTTGGAATCATTCATAGTTTTTGAAATAAACTAATTAATCAACTATAAGGTGTTTTTTTTTATTTT